AAGAATGAAGTTGAGTTTGGTTTGGGTACAAAGAAAAAAAAGACTTTAAATGCATATTTTGAAAAAGAGACGAATTGAAGAAAATATTGTCAAATTAAGTTTTTTATTTGTATTAATATGAACTTTTATGAATTTAAGTATTTATTATTCTATATATTAGTTGGGGCTTAAAGGATTTCAAAAAAATTATTATCTTATGTATTTAACGGGATTACTAATTTAGTACACTAGCCCAAATTGGAACCGAAGAAGTTTACTATTTAAACAAGATCATTAATTTATTGAGATTTTACTATACTAGGATCATCTCCTAGTAAACAATTTGCAAACCTTTCTTAGTAATTAATGGCCATTCATTCAACTGATTTGTGCTGAGATTGTACGTTAGAAAAGGAAAAAAAAAAAATTCACTTTTCTTTTTGATTTGGAATGGAAAATGAATGAAATGTTTAGATTTGAAAGATTATGTTAAATGTTAAGCATAATATTTTTATCAAATTCACTCGTCGAAAAATTTCCTTGTGCATCTCACCTAACAAAATTTTTAATATTATAGTTAATAGAAATGTTAAAATGATGAAATGCAAATTGAACTTAAATTTCAAATTTGGAAGGTTGGAATTGATTTTTCAAACAAGTTAAAGGTTAGGAACTAATTGCACAAATTTTCCATATGAAAAAGGAAAAATAAGATTCAGTTGTGAAGAACTTGAACCCTTGCCTATTAAAAAGAAACAAGGCCTTTATATCTCAAGTAAATTTCTACTTTTTCTATTTTTATTTTCTTTTGTTTTCATATATAAATAAAACAAATAAAATAAAATCAAAGAACCTAGGTGTCCGAGTCCGTCCTAGGAACCCCTTGGCTTTGCCCCTGCCAAATGCAAAACATAAGAATCAAGAAAAAACAAAAAAAACAATGTTATACTTAAAAGTAATGTTGCTTCTAAGTTTACTAAAAGTACTAAATTTGGTTTTGCTATTTGTACATCGATGATTGACACCTAGTGTGCAGTTCCCTCACAATAAGGGGGTGAAATGTAAACTTACATCAATATGCTTGTCCCATCGTAGAACACAAAATTCTTGCATAATTGAATAATAGATTAACAATGAATAAAGATTGCAATAGAGTCTTGAAGCTAACCAAGGCCAAGAAACATACATTTCAACCACGATGCCTCCTTCGTGGTCTCAATTACAACCACATATTCAATTTCATTTGTGGACAATGTCAATATATGCTGTAGCTGTGATTTTCAGTTAATACAAGCATCACGTAGAATAAAAACATATGAAGTGGTGGATTTTCTATTATCTTTATTATTTTTCAATAGTTTGCATCAACATAACTGAAAAATGCGATGTTTTAACCCATTTAATACTTGGGGGAGGTTGAATACGCGTTCTATGTGAAATTTAAAGTAATAAAAATAACCTACATCACGTCGCAAATTATCTAGTCTAGATGTATAGCAAATCAACTTACTAGTACAACAATCATATAAGCAAGCGAATATTAATAATTTGTTTCTTCTTCACTAAGATCTTCTCTTCTATTTCTTCTCTCTCAACACACAATGAACGAGAAGAGTTACTGTTGTATATAAACTATAATTCACAGCTCCAGGTTTTTTAGGAGTATTTAGAAATTGAAATAAGCAAAATAGGATTTTCCATGCCTGGACGGGCACTCAAGCGCCCACTTCACGCTAATCGAGCACACTTGGTTCTCGAAAACGTGCTTGAGTGCCCTCTTGATGTTCTGTAGCGCCCCGAGTTCTGTTAACCCGGATTGCCACGTTGTCGTCTTTTGCCCTAATTTTGTCAATCAATTTTGCGGAAATAACCTAATTTTTAAAATCACATTTGCAATTGAAAACTACGTCGGCAATTAAAATATATTGGATAATTGTTCAAA